GTAGGGCCGCTGGAGTACAGAGTACAGAGGAGTGGAAGTGCTTCAATTGAGTTTTGGTTCAAGGGAAGTTGCGGCCGGATCGGAGCACTGGCTCTCCCGCATGGGGCTCGACTGCAGGTGCAACCTGTCCTTGATCAGATGGTTGTGAGGGCAGTGGATGCGGCGGCGCCACCGGTGCTCCGCGTATGTACTGTACAATATCACTACTGAGGCGCGCCTGCTTTGCGTGCCCGCCAACGACCCCAAGCATGCCTCGTTGACACTTCCACAGCCAAGATGACGGCGCCGTGCAGCCGCAGTGGCGGTGGCAGCATGCATGTGTTAGACGGCGGGGACACCAAAAATCCGAGGTGATGCTGGCCACATGAGCCGACGGGGAGGGGGCGCCAATATGCATCTGTCACACTTGTTGCCCGTGCCTGCCTTCACCCCTGCTCAAACTTCAAACCCTTCCCCTAATTGCAGCTGGACATGATGATGGAGGAGCGGCCTGCGCCAGCCGGCCCGCCTGGCCGGCAGGATGAGATGATGCATGAGGGGGGCGCGTTGTGTGCCATGCTGCGCTCTGACCCCAAGAGGACCCCCCGTGGACAAGGGCCTGGCGCGCCGCTGCTTCTGCGTCAAGCCCGGCGTCTGCATTGTCCTAAGCCTCAACCGCAACCAGCCCCACAAGCGCTGGGACGCGGAAGGCCTGCCGTACCTTGCGTGCGCTGCTGACGGTCAGGGCCACGCGCGTCGGCCACTCCCCTTTCGCGGCTGCTGGCGTGGCAGCCGCGATGCAAACTTTCTGCAGGTGCACGTTTGAGCAATTCACGGTCCACAACATGGCACACAGCATGCGGCTGTGGCGTCGAGAGGCAGCGGCAGCATGCCGGTTTCGGGCTGGGCCCTGGGCCTGCCGCGCAGAGACATCTATCGGCGGGCCCAAGGACGCCCCCATCCAAGTGTCTTATGCGACCGAGCGGGCAGGCATCAGACTACATGCATCGTACAACGCTTTGCCAGCTGTGAGACGCGTGGCCGTTCCCTTTGAAGGGAGGCCTCAAACTTTGATCAAGGTGGGGCAGGCGCGACCCCATGTCGCCTGCCCAGCAGCCCCAGGATACAGCGCGTGTGGCTGTGCCAAAGGACGCGGGAGGTGCTGGTGCCCACCTTCCTCAGGCTCTCGTGTCGGCCCGACCCCAACCATGCCGACCCCCTCTCTTGGCGCCCTCTGCAGATGTACAGGAGCACCTCCGGCGCCACGCACCCGCCTTTGCCCCAAAGCAATTCGTCGCCGCGCATACTTGGCCGCTACCACATGCACCTTGTTGACGTTGATAGCTTGCAGGGTTTAGGGTTCAGGGTTTGGGCGCTGCAGCACCCCCAAGAGCTGCGCGCACAGGCTGCCGGCAGGAGTTGTGATGGAGGTGGCCCCACAAGCGGCAGCGGTTTGGGGCTCAGGCTCAGGCTCAGGATCAGGATCAGAATCAGGATTGTCACAGCGTCCCGCCGTGCCCCGCTTCTGGCAAGGGCTGCTCTTCTGCCTGGGGCCTGTTTGTAAGGACAATCCGGAGCAATAGCACCCGCTGCAGTGCAACCCTCACTTGAAAGGGGTTGTCTGGAGGTGGTGACGAGAATTAGACTCGAAAGGATTTCAATGATGGGAACACACCAAGGCATGGCAGCCAACAACCGGACCAGAGAGCTTTTGGCATGCTAATCGTGCCCCATCTTCGTATTAGCGTGCCCCGCCCGCCGTGCCTGCTCCTCGCTGCACGCCGCCTTGTGCGCCGGCCAGTAGCCCTTGTAGCACGCGTCAGAGCAGAACCATGCCAGGCGGCACCCGCGGCAAAGGTGCAACCGCGCACCTGCGACTCCCTCGGCTGCGCCACACGCTGCGCACACAGCAGACTGCCGCCCACCCACGACGCTGCTGGCGTGGTGCTGGCGTGGCTGCCCTGCTAATGCTGCTGTAAGTGGCCGTGCAACTGCCTCCTTCATTTGATACTTCTCCGGTTGCTGCTGCTGCGGCTGCTCTTTCTGTTGCTGCTTGGATTGCTCCTGTAGTTGCAGGTGCTGCAACTGCTCCCGCTCTTGCACCTGCTGCAACTGCTGCTGCACTTTCACCTGATGCATGTGCTGCTGCTGGTGGTCCTGCAGCGGCTGCTGCTGCTGCTGCTGCTGCTGCTGCTGCTGCTGCTGCTGCTGCTGCTGCGCAAGCCTGGCCTCCTCTCCCGACAACCCCGGCATCTGACGCCTGGAGGGCAGGTGCGCCAGCGCGCCTTGCACCTCCGCTTTGACCAACTGCGCGTGCGCAGCCCCTGCTCCTCCCCGAGCACCCCGCGAGGCCCAGCGCAGCAGCAATTCCAGCGCGCGCTCTGCACGCAACACGTCAGCCATCGGCGCCGCTCCCGTTTGCTCTCCCTGCGGGGTGCGACCCGGAAGGCCGCCGCACTGAGTGGGCTCAGTGCGCGCCCCCTCGACGCCACCGATGCGCCCGCCTGCGGCGGCGTCATTGCCGCTGCCGTCGCCGCTGTCGCCGCTGGTGCTAGTGCTGCCGCTGCCGCTGGACTCTGCCCACTCCCTCGCCGCCCACGCCTCAACGTCCCAAAGCAGGTCCGCCGCAGCCTCTGACGCTCTTGGCTGCGTGCACATATACGTGCACTGGGCGACGAACGACAGCGCGAAGGGCGCGGCGGCCATGTCACCCCTGCAGCACCACCGAAACCTGCAGAGCCGCATCATCATAACGAGGCCGTCTCGGCCTGGTGCATCCAATAGCGATGTCCAGATGCGCCACCGCAGGCCCGCCGCATCCGTGGCAGCCGCCGCGCTGGCCTCCGCCCACGCCGCTGGTTGCTGCCCCTGTTCGCACCCGTACAGCAGCGCTGCCACAGCCAAAGCGATGTCGGCGCCGTGCCTGCTGTCGAGCCTAGGCACGGCCAGCGCAGCTGCCAGCAGCGGCAGCGCGCCGAGGCGCCGCAGTGCGCCCAGCCATGCGCTGTCCTCGTCATCACCGCCGCCTGCGCCTGCTCCTCCTCCTCCTCCTCCCCCTACGTGTCCGCCGCCCCCGCCGCCGCCGCCCGTTGCACGGCTGGCATTGCTTTCGGCTTCTGCCACCAACGCGACTGTCGCGCACAGGCGCGCGTGGGCCCCGCCCGCACCCGTCTTCTCCAGGGCGTCGCCCCCCGCCCGCGCCGCCGCCAGCCACGCGCGCGCCCCCGCCACGAGCGCCGCCGCCGCGCCAGGCACCGCGGCGACGCAGCTGCCCGGCAGGCGCCCGCCGGAAACGGCCTCCAGGTCCGAGCGCGCCACTTGCCAGAGCGCCTTGCAGGCCGCGTTGAGCGCGGTGGCCAAGTTGGCAGCGTGCGTGAGATCTTCGCGGCCTGCGGCGGCCGCGGCGCCGGCGGCGGCGCCCCAGCGGGCGGGGCGGCCGAGGAACGCGAGCGCGTGCTTTGCGAGGTCCCTCGCGCACTTGGCGACGACCAAGGCGCGGCACTCGGAGGAGAGCAGGGTCGCCGTGGCGCGCCAGACCAGGGCCTGGGTCGCGGACGTCGCGGCCGGATGGTGCGCGTGCTCCGAGAGCACCAGGAGGAGGCCCGGCGCGCGCGCCACCAGCGTGCCCCCGAGGGGCGCCGCCGGCTGCGAGGCGTCGCAGAAGCGAAGCAGCAGCGCGGCCAGCTGCGCGGCGGGCTCCGCGCGCGCCGCGCCCTGCGTGAGGCGGGCGCAGATGACGTCGATCAGCAGACCGTCGACGCGCGACAGCGCCGGCGCCCACTCGGCGAGCGCGGCGTGGCCGGCGGCGTCCAGCTGCAGCGAGCCGTCGCCCACGCGCTCCGCAGTGCTGGATATGAAATGCGCCAGCCTCACAAACGGCCAGAACGGGTCCGACCAGTCCGGCGACGGCGGCCCGCCCCCGCCCCCGCGCCCCGGCCGCACGCTCGGCAGCAGCCCGGCGCGCAGCAGCGCCTCGGGCGCGCCGGGCGTGCGCAGCACGGCTGCGACGGCGGGCAGCGCGGCGGGGCTGTCCAGGTCCAAGGTTGCCATGACCGTATGGTTGAGAAGCAGCACGCGCGACTTAGCCGGGAGCCCGAGGGAGCCTCCGCCATCATCATACACGCCCGCGGCGCGTGCCTCCGCGTCCGCGCGCGCGCTTGCGGCGGCCGCGGCGGCGGCGGCGCCGCTGTTGGGGGCGCGGAGGCATTCGGACGAGAGGTTGCTGGGGAGAGCCGCGAAATGCAGCAAGTTGAGCACGGCGTCCTGCCATGGAGGGTCGAAAATCATGGCTGTAAAAGATGACACCGAGAGGGTTTCGAATCGATTCGAAATTATGAGAAGTTGGCGGCAGGTCAAGTCCTCATCCACTGCCGCAGTTCGTGGCTGGGCGTGGCGGTTGCCCAATCACCGCCGCGCGGGCTGCTCATGTGCAGCAGGGCGCGGGGCGCATTTGAAGGCACCCACCTCCAATTTGCCGGCGGCTGCATTGGTGGCACGTTGTCGCGCACCGCCCTCACCGCTCGCGCTGCCCCGGCGCACAAACAGCGAGTCCATGACATGCACAAACACTGCGGGGCTGATGCTGTCCAAGCCCTCGCGAAGCCGCTCCATGGAAACGCTTCGTGTCTTTTCGAGCTCCTTATACAGGCGCTCTAAGGCCGCGGCATTTCGCTGGCGCACTGCCAGTGCGCTTGCGATCTCGCCAAGAAGGCGGTCCATAACGAAAGTTGAAGTAGCGATGATGTGTAATCGATCCTTCCTGCGCTAGCAACAGCACCGCATGGCTTCGTTGTCTAGGAGCAACAGCACCGCATGGCTTCGTCGCTTTTGACCACGTTCGAACTGCTTGTTGATGCGCCTGTGCGACACCGACGACACTGCGCGGTTGATGCTGTGCCGCTGCGCCGCTGCACGGCTGCAGACACCTTGTGAATACGGCTGTATTTTCATGGAATACGGTGCTGTGGCCATGACCGCGGCAGGTAAGCAATACTCTGCGAGAGGGGTGGGAGCTGGCTGTGCACATGAATTTCTGTGGCCGCTCGGATTTTCTCAACACGCAGCGGAGCGTCAGCCTGCACAGCAGCACACCAGCTGAGGCTTGATCCTGTGCCAGCCCCCTCCTCCACTCATACACCAACCTTCTACGTAGCTGGCGGCCGCGCCCGCACTGGTGCACTCCCAGCCTTCGGACAGGCGCTACTGTGTGCGCGGTTGCTCCTCGCCCTCCTCAGCCGCCTGGCAGCGCGCCTGCAGGTCTCCACCCGCCTACGTCAGTGTGCCTGAAATAGCCCCAACATGCACTTGGCCCCCGTCCCCTGCCAGCCCTCAAACCATCACCCAGCATCACCCAGGATTGCAATGCATGGTCACCCGCACCTTTCCCTCACACAGACAGCTGCTTAGCTGCCTGCGGGCCACACGTGCACCTGCACCAGCTCGCGCCGATAGATCCCCGACACACGCCGCCGGTACGTTCGCCAACCGCCCGGCCTCGGCCCCACCCATTACTCTCGTCGTCAAACCCGTGATCTCACAGCAGCGGCACCCGCGCGCCCCACGTGTATAAACCTGACACATCATTCTGCTGAGGGGTGTAACAACATAATCCTGTTGCATTACACCATCCCTTTCTTGGTTTGCCTGTGCGCTGCTGCGGCGTGCAGCACCCAGGATGTCGGCGTGGGAGTGGCTCTGGCCGTTGCGCTATCTGTGAAGGGCACCGCCCTTACAACACATCACACCCATCAGCCACAGGGTGGCAAGGAGTCGGGCCGAGTCCAAACCTGTACATGATCCACAGACGTGAAAGTTTGAAAAGCCTGGTGCTGATGCACTCCTCTGCAAAGACGTGCCAGTTTTGCGCCGCAGCTCGCTTGCAGTGGCGCTACTAGCACCTGCCAGCAGTAGCCCTTAAGCCGAGGCAGCTGATTCTTGGGCACCAGCTAGGCATGTGCGGTGGAATAGTCGTGCGTTTCAAACACGTGCAGCGCCTCCCCAACTTTTCAAAACACATACAACCCTGAAGCTAACGCGGGTGGCTGCTAGCCATTAGTAATGCAGCGCCTGCCGCGCACACCCCGCATTAATTGCAACACATGCGCGCTGCCCAGCCTGCTGGCACTGCCAAGGTGGCACCTTGCCAAGCCTTTCAGTGCAGTCTTCGTTGGATACGCCAGCTCCACAGGGGCCCGCTCGCCGCTGCATGACACACCAGCAGCATGCAGCGCGTGTGCGCGCGCACGTGTGTGCAACAAAGGTCTGCTGCACACTGATGTGTGGCTTGTCGAGAAGGGCAATGCGCCACGTCACCATGTGAATAAATGTCGCCGCTGAGCTAGCAAAGTGTGCCACGAAGTGTCAAGCGAGAGAAATTGAAGGGCTGGAGGGCACGAAAAGGAACAGTGCGCACTGGCATCTGCCAGGTCTTACGCGTGCCCCACACCGAGCGCACGTAGTCAGACTCAACTTTCGAGCTGACTGCTGCGGTGCGATGAGACGCGGCTGAGCAGGGCGCAAGCCTCGCCCTGCGTGCCCTCAGGAAGCCCAGGGCCCGCAGACCGCCCCGCGTCCGCCCGCGCTGCCGTTGTCGGTGCAAGATTAGGCTGCGCGAGCGGCGCCGCCGCGACTGACGGCCGCCGCCACGACAGCAGCAGCCAGCAGAGCGCGAGCGGCGGGACCCAGCCGATGAACGGAGACACCAGCAGCGCAGAGGGGCCGTAGGTGAGACCGAGGCGGAGCGCGAGCTTCACCCAGAGTGCCGCGGGCACCAGCAGGGCTGCGGAGACGAGGGCGGTGGCCCAGGCCGGCGCAGGCTTGCGGTCGTCGCGCGCATAGGTGTTGGAGACGAGCGCCTTGGAGGAGGGTGCGACGGGGATGGTTGATCAGCCCGAATGACATGTCCGGCTTGATGCCCGCCAGTAGATCGAAAGCGAGTGGTATTTGCAGCCGTTTGTTCCGCCGCACCTGCACAATGTTCGCTTGTGCAGCGTAGCAACCTTCTTGCAAGTCACCCCCCCACACACACACTCTTTGAATTTTCTGCTCACCAGCCAGACGGTCAGGGGCACCAACGCCACCCAGATAAACACCATCCCCGGGATCGACGGGTCTGCGCACTCGTACACCATAAACCCGCCACCCGCCGGCCGCATCAGCAGGCCCCAGGGGAAGAGCGCCCCCAGGCCGGCCTCGCCGCCGCTGAGGTGAGCCAGGTGCCAGGGGCCCGTGAGCAGCAGCAAGTTGAAGGCCAGCGCCGCGGCGAGGCAGCCGGGGCCGACGGCGTTGGTGCGGGCCCAGAACTCTGCCATCGTCTGGGGGGGAAGGGGGGGGGGGCGGTTTTGGAGGGGGCGGAGGGCAGCGTGGGCGGTGGGTACGGTATCGCTGGTGGTCAGGATGGCAAGCCGGGGCAGGGGAACCAGTGTATGCTTCAGTGAAGTCGCTGATGGTGAGGCCTTGAGACAAGCGTGGCAAATAATCGTTTCCACTCACCCAACACATGCTTGATACGAGGACTGCCTGTCTAGGCTCTACCAAAACCCTCACCTTGACGGGCCAGAGGCACAGCAGCAGGATGAGACGGCCACCATTCACGACCACCCCCTTGACGGCCGCCAACCCGCAGCTGCCGCCGCCCCCCTGCCTTCTCGGCCCCGCCGCCACCACCGACCCCTCGTCCGCCGCCCCCAACGCAGCCAGGCCGCCGCTCTCCCCGCCGCTGCCCGCCCGCCGCGCCAACGCCGCGCCGCAACGGCGCCCAGCACAGCCAGGGGTCAGCGGCAGCGCTTGCGCCAGGCGGGCGTGGACGGAGAGAATGGGCCCCGCGAGGCAGCTGGGAAGCAGTATCAGGACAACCAAATGGAACGCCCACCCCGCCACCTCAGCAAGGCGGGTCACGAGCGGCCAGTCCAGGGGGGCGATCATGAGGGCGGCGCGCAGCCCGGGTCGCTCCAGCGCGGACTGCCCCTCGAAGCCTGCGGCCGCGGAGGGGCGAGTGGGTGCGTGGCTGTATCGGGCGGCTAACTTGGGGTCGAGGTGTTGCAGTGTGAGGGGGCCGTATTCAGAGCTGCGGGCTGAGCAAAGTCTAGCCGGTGCTGCCAACACGTCGCCAGCTTGAGCCCGTGCTGGGTGCAGCGCCGCCGATGGCGCGCGTGAGCGGGGGCGCACCCGCAGCGTGTGCCCCGGCGGCTGCGTCGGGGCTGCGCGCGGCCTCGCGCCAGGATGAGGCGGAGGTGTTGCCGGCGGCGTCCGTCACCACGGCCTGGGGGGTTGGGAGGTTTTGGATGGGATGAAACGACTGCAGCTGGACGGCTGCGCGAGGACCTGGGTGCTTGCACTGCGGCGTGATTGAGCCTCTTCCCGCCAGAATTCTGCAGCAGCCATCTGTTGCGGCCCGCACCACCCACTGATCGGAGTCCGGGGCGCCCTTACCTGCACCCACAGCCGCGAGCCGCACGCAGCTGCGGCGCCGCCAACGAGCGTCCCGACATACAGCAGTCGCGCGTCCCGCCCGGCCGCATTGCCACCATCACCCTCGTCGCCGCGGACGCCGCCTGTTTTCATTTGCCGCCGCCCCCCCTGCGCAGGGGATTGGGCCGCCTCTGCTACAGCCAGGTGGGTTGTGCCCTCCTGCAAGGGCACCTCGCCGGCTGCCGCCGTGCCGCGCCCCGGCGCAGCGCCGCACTGCCACCTGAGCGCCGCGTGCGCCACTGCAGGCGCCGCCAGATCCACGGGCAGCACGAGCGCGCGCACATTGGGCGGCGCGGCAGGGGCGGGGGGGCCGCCGTTGGCCGCAACTGACGCGGCTGTGACGACGACAACGTGCGAAGCGACCTGTGCATTGCGATTGGGGGGGGGTGCAGGGCGGTTGGTGGGGGCACAGGGTTGTTGAATGCGATCGCCCTGCACTCAGCCTGTGCCTGATTGAGGGAGCGCCCCTACGATGGCAGCTTCAGACAACCCCAGGATGCCCTGGCGGCTACAATCAGGCACTGGATGTCGCAGGGCGGCGGCGGCGGCGGCGACTCGCACCGACGCGGAGCGCTCCAGGCTGTGGACGCGGCCGCCCTTGAAGTCGTAATCCGCGACGACCACGCCCTGCCCGTCGAACGCCAGCAGCCGCCACCGCCTCTCCAACTTCCAGTCCCCCGCCTCAAACTCAGCCAGGGTGTCGGACATGCCCGCGCCACCGTCGCCGGCGTTGCGCTCGGCAGGAAAACGGTGTCGCGCGTACATGAAGCGGCCCGCCAGGGAGTGGAGGTGCCCGCTCAGGTGGCCGGCCACGCCGCGCCGCGCGAGCAGCCGGGCGAGCGCGCGCCCGCCCGAGCCGGGCAGCCCCGGACGCGGCGCTGACGCGATAGTGCCGAGGGGGTAGTGGGTATAGCTCAGCCGCGGCGGCGGCGGCGGAGGAGGGGGAGCTGCTGGTGCTGGTGCTGGTGCTGGTGCTGGTGCTGCTGGTGCTGGTGCTGGTGCTGGTGCTGGTGCTGCTGCTGCTGCTGGTGCTGCTGCTGCTGCTGCTGCTGCTGCTGATGATGATGATGATGCTCCTGCTCCTGCTGCTGCTGCTGCTGGTGATGATGATGGTGAAGCCAAAAGTGAGGGTGCGGCGGAGGCGGCGGCGCCACCGCAGCGCGCGTCGCCGGGGCCACCGGGGGCGGCGTCGAGCGCCGCCTGCACCTCCCCGAGGGTTGTGGCGTTGATGACGCCGAAGAAGTTGCTGAGGGTCGTTCGGTGAGGATACAGCAGTCAATGTTAGGCAGCAGCATTGAATGGTGGTTGTTATGGTGAGGCACGCTTGTTCGACAGGTGGGGGTGGAAAGGAGGCGCGGCAATGTGGCAACGCACTGCAAGACCGGGCCGCCTCTGGGCCTCCTAGGCCCCAGGTGAGGTCGCCGGCCACGGGCTACGCGCCGCCATCGCAACCCCCTGACAAGCCCAGCACCGCCCCTCCCACACCCACCCCCTCCCCTCAAGCTCACGTGTAGCCGTACATCCGCACATCTGGGGTCGCATCCACTCCTATCAGCACAGCCGCAGGGCAGCTGCCACCACCGCGGTCCCCATCCTGCGCGGTCACCGCTGCTGCGCCCGCGTCCGCGTCCGCGTCGCCCCCCAGCCGCACCACCAGCCGCGGCGAGATCTCAGTCACGCGCACACGCGCGGCCGCGCCCGCCGCGCCGAGCGCGGCGGCGGTGGCGGAGCTCTCTGCGAAGCGGTCGGCCCCAGAGGGCTCCCCCCTCGCTGCATCGAACACGTCGTGATTGCCGCGCATGTCGATGACATGAGAGGCGTCCAGCCCCGCGGCAGCTGCCGCTCCACGCCAGGCGGCGGCGTATGCCTGTTCGAGATATCAGCGGAGGGCGTGAAGCGGCATCAGCGCACTGTGTTTCATTCCGCACGTCCATGCGGTGGGCCGAAAGGGACCAGAGGGGCGTGCGCCCATGAATCCGCTCCGCCCTTCTCGCACCCGTGCGCCCCTGCCTGCGGGCCCCCTCGCACCCGGCGGCCCCCGGCACAGCTTCCAGGCAGCGTCGCCCACCTGCCACTCTTGGGGGTACTGCTGGCTGCCCTCCTGGCTGGCGGTTTTGGCGTCGACCAGGTCCCCCGTCAACAGCAGCGCCGACGGGCGCAGCGCGGCGAGCACAGACTCCCCAAATGCCACTAGGTCTGGCGCGATAGCCGGGTGCTTGAAGCGGCTGATGTGCAGGTCCGACACCTGGACCGCCCACGCCACAGAGGCAGATGCAGCTGGCGCACGCGTGCCAGGGGTGGCGAGCGCTGCGCCGGTCACACTCGTCGCGGCGAGCGCCCACACGGCCAGCGCCCACCGCAGCAACGTGGGGGGGTCCAGCATGACTGACGAGACCCTTTGAGCGTCCCACGGTCTGATCCGTGGGCGACACGCGGGTCCTGGCTTCGAAGGGATTGATGCCGGGCGATTTCCGAGCGTGTGATACAGTAATAATACGAAATCATACAAACATAGGCATGGGTATGGGCGGGATACCCCAATCGCTTTGAGCACACTGCTGCCTGCCACATTTGCCGTGTGCGGTGTCTACGGTGGTGACCACTCTGCCCCTCGGTAATCGAACCCTCGTCAGTGCATGCATGATACGATACGAAGATTTTTGCATATATTCATACAAAGATTCATCACGACCCAAACAGCTTGTATGCTTGCAGCACTAGCCTTCGGTTGCACTCAAGGCATCACCAGCAGCATGAGTAAATGCATGACGAACTGCAGCAACTTCATCACCGGAAGTCCAGGGACCAGCGCATGGTGCAGGCACGCAACAAGAAAAATTCATAAATGCAAGGCGATTCCGTTTTGGCAAGTTACCCCTGTGGGGTGTAGAGATATCTCAACCATGCACAGGGGGACATCCCAACAGCCCACCAAACCGCTCCAGTACCAGTATCAACCACCCAGCACTTTGGAGGTGCATGACCCACAAGTGTATACAAGCCCGTCCCCAAAATGTGCATTCGTGCTGGGTTTGGTGCCAACTTCATTCCGCGGTAGCAAGGGTCTTATGACCCCCAGCCTGGTATTTTGGTGTCCAGACAGCCACGCATTTTTGGGCAGCTGCCATTTTCAGAACATTGTGTGGGGTGCTGCGCCCCCTTGGAATTGATCAGCTTCCCTGAGCTGGCAACTTGATGGTCAGCGCAAGACTGTTGGTTTTATCTCTGGCTTTGCATGCAGCGCCCCGGCCGTGAATCCCGCTGTGCACCGCTTCGCAACAGAGCACAACTCTCATGGTAACAAAGAAGCTCATCCATGGCAAGCCGTCACAAAAACCCAGTTGCTAAGCAACCGGCCTGGCCACACATAGCAGCCTGCCAGCATCAAGCTTGCTGCAGTCACGTGCACGCGCAACATCGCAGAGCAGGAAACTCTGAAAGGCTGCCCTTCGGCGCACAGCAGGGACACACCACCAGCAGCAGCAAACCCTGCCACTGGCAGGGAATACGCGTTCACAAGCAGCGCACACTCTTGGCCCCGTCAGCGCCACGCGACGCCGTCCATCACCAGGGGCGAGTCCCCGCAGCCCAGCAGCTCTGCCAGCCGGTGCTCACCAAGCAGCCCCGCCCCCGCCGCCGCCCGCTGGGACGCGGTGCTGCAGCACCAGTCCGCCACGTGCACCGCTACAGCCGGCGCAGGCCACGCCCTCGCGCCGCCGCCAGCACCAATGCTGCCGCTGCCGCTGCTGCCGCCGGCCGCGCCGCGGGCCAGCGCGGAAGCTTTGGCGGCTGCGGGCTGCAGCAGCAGCCGCTCTCGCAGCCGCTCCGCCCTGCCCAGCCGATCCACAACCAGGTGCAACTCCCGGCCCGCGGCCGCAGCAGCCGCCGCTGCGCTCTCGGCCGCCGCCTCAAGCGACGCGACCTGCAGCACACCCACGCGCCCACCGCCGCCGCCGCCGCCGCCGCCGCCGCCGCCGCCGCCGCCGCCGCTGCCGCCGCCGCTGCGAATGCCTGCTCGCCGCAGCGCGGCCTCCGTTATGTGATGCGGATACACAGACGCGACTTGCACCGGGACCGTGCTGTTGTTGATCGCATCGGATACGCGCCCGCACGGCCGCAGTGACGCCCACGCCCCGTCCTCCCCCTCGCCGCCTCCGATGCCGCTGCTGCCTGTTGCCTGCCCGGGCCCCTCCGCACAGATCTGCGTTGGGTACGACTCCAGGGCAGCCGTGTAGCGCCGCCGGAGCTCCGACTGCAGCGCATCCGCATCGACCCCCGCCTCGCGGCTCCACCGCACCAGGCACGCCGCGCGCACGTCGCACGCCCTGCCGAGTCGTGGGGAGCGCGGCAGGCGCAAGGCACAGTCCGCAGGCCGCGTATCGGTGGCGCGAGAGGCATCAGGCACCGCTCCGCAGCGGCTAGGGGGGCTGCGCTGCGCAGAGCTTGAAGCCATTGCTTCCTCTGCCCACCCCGACGGTGTACATTCCATTCGAATGGACACCTCCCCGCGCACCAGTGCTCCTGTACCTCCGCCACTAGGAGCGGCCTGCTGCTGCTGCGCCGCACCGCGCGCCCAACCACCGGGCCCTCGCGGCCCGCGGTGCTGCGCGCGCCTGTTGGCCGCGCGGCGTGGAATTGTTCATGCAGCGAGGGCGCCTCAGGCAGCGACTACCATCAGATTGTGATTATCAATCTCGGGTGGGCTCCGTGGCCCCAGCGGCATTACGTAGATTGTGCAAACAACCTGCTACACCCCACTTACTCTGTCACGCTGCTGTTCTTGATCGTTACGATTCCGGGGGACCCCTCACAGCAGCCCCTGCAGGCCCATTGACCCCCACACCACCCCCACCGATGATGCCTTCGTCGGCGCAGAGCCGGATCAGGAGCGCCGCCTCCTCCGGCGCCTCTGTGCAGTTGAGCAGCCGCCGCATGGTCGGCACATATGCGGCCGCACTGCCCACCACCGTGGCTGGCCCCCACTGCGCCTTCGCAGCATCGAACGCGCACGTGGTCAAGATCACATCCAGGCCAGCCACGACGGTGTCCAGGTCAAACAACACAGACACCGGCGCGGCGCCGGCCGCTGCAAACGACACGCGCGGCCTGCGCTTCTGCACGTTGCTGCTGCTGCTGCCGCTGCCGCCGCCGCTGCCGCTGCTGCAGCTCTGTTTGCTGCAGGCTGGCTGGAGTGGCAGGGCAGTGGCCGGGGCCGCAGGGTGTGGCGTATGGCGGCATCCCACGGCCACGAGCGGCCGAGATCCGTTCAATCTAGGGTTTGTTGCGCAACATTGGGACTGCATTACAGGTGAGCGTCCCGCAACTGCGAAGATGTCAGTTCCAAGCCTCAACCAAAGCCTTGAAAGGTGCTACGCTCTCCAGGGACCAAAAGAATCTGCTGGAGGCGTGCGCGATTCTCGCATAGGCTCGACCTTCAGGATCTTGAAGGGGCTCTAGAGGGACGCCGGGTGACAAGCTTGAGTCTTGCTGATGGAATACCGATCGGGATTGCGGACCGTCATACCTGAAACTCAAGTTGCAATTATTCGTAATACATATCACATTGCCCTAGTGACGTTCCAGATCGCGAGTGAGGCAGCAAGGAGAGCAGCACGGGGTATATCTGACAACCTGGGAGTGTGTACATGGCAGAGGTCGCGGCACTTGTGAAGACTTCAGCAAGCAGGTGAGCCGGCGTCTGATGCCAACGCTGCGGGCGGGCTGCACGTGCGGCACCTGCGCGCCGCTGTCAACAGCCACTCTGTGTCGATGAATATCAGCAATACCCGTTGCTGCCAATCAACCCTTTGCAGCTGCATCGTGCGTGTGCCGTTTGACGCATCAGCAGGGACTGCACAACAGCTGCAGGTGCGGTTGGCGGCACACGAGGAGTTGACATACACACAGCTGCCGGCGACTGCCTGCGCTACACGAGCACGAGTGCCCCACCAAACAACCGTTGTCCCACCTGCTCAAAATCGGCCACAGCTGCGACTGGTGTTAACGCCCCGCCCGTGTGCCGAGTTGTGCCTGCGCACACCCCAACCTCGCGCACGCCATCGCCTTGCCAAAATCAGGCGCGAATCGAGGAGGCGTGCCGCCTGCCACCAGGGGCAGTCGAGCGGTTGGAGTTCCAGGGACAGCCGCTGGAGGGCGCGGAGGAGGTCGGGCGCGTGGGCGTGAGCGCGGGGGCCGCAGGCGCCGCAGCTGCTGCAGAGGCGGTGTACCCCAACGGCTGGATCGCCTCGCCCCTCAGCAGGGCATACCGCAAGGTGGGGGGCGGAATACGAGGGGTCAGGGAGGGGATACCCAGGCAGCTGCGCGGGCTCCTGCACTCGAGCTTGCAATTGAGCAGCGCGCGGGGGCGGGGAGGGGGTCCTTGGGGCTGCGCAGGGCACGTTTTCGTGACTCTCACACATCACGCCACGATTCGTGCAGGCGCTTGACCTCGACACCTCCCCCCTCTTCGCCCCCCGCGATGCTGATTGTTAAACCCCTCCGTCTGGCCCTGTTTCAATCCTTCCCCCGCGCTGCTGCCATCTCCCAGCCCTTGGACCCCTCGTGGCCGCCGGTCCGCCACGCGGACTTCATAGCCAGCGCAGGCTGGGTGCTGGCCGCCCTCGCGGCGTTGGTGGCCGCCAGCCTGCTGTCCGCCTGGTGAAGCGATTCAACCATCCAACGCACACGCGTTGAAGTCGGTATTGTTTCTGGCGAGCAGCGTGCCAAAACAAGAGCAGCGGCTGCAATAAAGGAAGCCTCCCCCAGACGGGGCCCGGGCGGCAGCGGCAGTGGCAGCGCCAGCAGCAGCGGCGGCGGGCGCGCACTGCGCGCTACCCGGCGCAGCATGCTGAGGGTGTGGTCAGCGACGCCGGCGGCAGCGGCAATGGTGGCCCGGTGGCCGGCGCTCGGCGGCAGCATCGTCGGCAGCGGTCCGTGGCTCGGCGTACGGGCCTCGGGCTCGGCGGCGGGCAGCGGCGGCGGCGGCGATGATGGCGGCGGTTTGGAGTGGTTGGCCGGCCTGGTGAATCACGAGGCCTCGGGCATGCCAACACAGGTGGCGGCCGCCACCCCAGCCGCCTCCGGCAGCAGCAGCGCCGCCGACGGCGGCGCGCCCGCGCCCGCGCCGGCGGGCGCCGCGGCGCCGCCGCGGGGGCGGTTCGACCTGGCTGGCATGCGGGCGCTGCTGGCGGCGTTGGGGGACCCTCAGGAGCGGTTGGATGTAGTCCACATCGCCGGCACCAAGGGCAAGGGCTCCGTCGCCGCCATGCTGGCCGGGATGCTGCGTGCTGCCGGGCTGAGGGTCGGCGTCTACACGAGCCCCCACATGCACACGATCCGGGAGCGCATTCAGACCCCCGGCTCGGGCTCGCCGCCGTCGGCGCCCCCGGCGCGGGCCGCGGGAGGCGACGGCGCCGGCAGCGTGGCCGGCGGCGGGCCGCCGCGGCAGCCGGAGATTATAAGTGAGGCCGAGTTTGCGGGGCTCGCGTCGGCCGCGCGCGCCGCGGCGGCGGCCGCAATGGAAGCGGGCCACTTGGCTGCGCCGCCGACACACTTTGAGGCGGTCACAGCGATGGCGCTGCGCCACTTTGTGGAAGCGGGCGCTGACGTGGCGGTGGTCGAGGCCGGCATGGGGGGTGCCACCGACGCGACCAACGTGGCACCTGCCGGGAAGCTGCAGGCGGCGGTGATCACTCAGATCGGTTGGGACCACGTCGAGGCACTCGGGGGCAGCCTGGAGAGCATATCAGAAGCCAAGGCCGGGATCGCGAGGCCAGGGCGCCCAATCATCCTCGCCGCCCAGCCGCACGCGGCCGCGGCCGCCGCGCTGCGCGCTGCGGCCGCACGTGTGGGCGCTGCGCCCGCCGTCGACGCGGGCGCGGCGGTGGCGGTGGAGGCGGCGGGGCCGGTGTGCGTCGCGGCAGGGCCGGGGTGGCACCTGGCCAGGCAGGCGGTAGATGTTGTGGCGTCACCCGACGCATCCGCCTGGGGCCGAGACGCGGCGCCGGCGTCGGCGGTTGCGGCAGCAACGCCCGCCCTGCGCCTGGAGGGGGTGCAGATGGCGATGGTCGGCGCCCACCAGCGCGCCAACGCGGCGGTCGCGGTCGCGGCCGCCCTGGAGCTGCGGGAACAGGGGTGGCGCGTGCCGGACGCCGCCATACGCGCGGGACTCGAGGGCGCGGCGCTGCCGGGGCGCTTCCAGGTGCTGAGGCTCCAGCAGGCAACCGCGGCCACCTCGGACGACCAGCAGCAGCAGCAGCAGCAGCAGCAGCAGCAGCAGGAACCGTACATCGTTCTTGATGGCGCCCACACCCCCGAGTCCGCCGCCGCCCTCGCCGCCGCGCTGCGGGAGGCGTTCCCGCCGCCGGCGCCGCTGGCGCTGGTGGTCGCGATGGCGGCCGACAAGCAGCACGCCGGGGTGCTCGCGGCGCTCCGGGCCGCGCGGCCCGGGGCGGTCGTGTTCACGTCGGTGCCCGTGGCGGGCAGCAGCCAGCGCAGCGCGCCGCCAGGTGGGCGGCCCTGGCGCGCGCGCATGCGCGGAAGTCGGTTCGGGGCGTGCTTTTGCACTCTGTGGGGCCTGAGATAATCTGCTTAGGGCTGCAGAGATGGGGAGCTCCTTTCCGTCCGGGCCTACTCAGCTGACCCTGTCGACGAGGCATATGCAGGCACCGCCCGCCTGAGCGCCCCGCAAGATCTCCATCTTCTTGTCGCCCACTCGCAGGCACGCTGGCGGCGCACTGGCAGGCGGCGGCGATGACGTCATCGGGCCCGCCCTTCAGGTGCCGCGAGCTCATCCAGGCGGGCGTGGTGGCGGCGCTGCAGCGCGCGCGGCGCGAGGTCGCGGCGCTCGCCCACCAGCGCGCGGGGGGCGCCGGGGGCGGGGCGGCGCCGGTGATGTGCGTGACCGGGTCGCTGCACGCTGTCGCGGCTGCTGCGCGGGAGCTGGAGCAGCTGGCTTCGCGGTGACGCGCTCAAGCGTGGGTGACTGAGGAAGCAGTCAGGGAGCAGGCTGAGTAACTGGTCAGGGCGGGCTGAGTAACCACGGCTGAGAAATCAAAGCATTTGTGATGGTGGGTTCCTGTGGCAGCCCTTGGGGCCGCAGTAGTGCACGCAACTTGGTGAGAGGCGGACAGGTTTGTGCCCGGGTAAACACACCACCACACTATTACAAGTGCACTGCAGATTGAAAATCAGCTGGCACAGCGCATCAGGCAGTGGGGTTGTGACGCGTCGCGCCGACTGCAAGCACTGCGCATTGAGAGTAGTCAACGACGACTGCCTGCAGCCCCTGCCTCGGAAGTCGCATAAGTGCTAGGGCTCAGGAAAAACTTGTCTTGAAGTCGGAGAGAAGCAACGTCCCGCGCGCGCAGCAGATTGAGGGTACGACAGAATGGCAGTTGGGCCGGGCTCCTGAGCGGCTTCCCCACAGCTGCCCGCATGTACCCCCCGTCGTCAGTGGCGGGTGACGTGAATCGCCACCTGTAGGTAGAGGGGCTTGCTGCTCAGCAGCCGCGGCGCGGTGGTGCCCTGTGGGGGAGTGGGG